CCTGGAGGGGAGAGACAGGACAGAAATATGTGGAAGAGTTCATGAAAAATTCCAACCTCCTGGGAGAACAGGAGGTAGAATCTCATCCCCACACAGGCTGGTTACAGACGGTTCACTCTGATATTGTGAAGAGTCTTCACAATAGAACCCCAGACTTACCTTTATTTGTTAACTTTGCTTTCACCCTTCTTGAACTCCAACTCCACTGTAAATCGGACGGCTCAGCATTCCCCAAGCACCATTTCCTACTTACATTCTTTACTTGCCTAGAATTCTTCAAGACCCACACTTCAAGTGGAACCTTCCTTCCAGATCCCCAGGCTAGGCACCCCCGCTTGTTTCAGTTCCTTATTCCACCCCATCCAGTTCTCTGAAATACAGATTCCACCTGCTCCTATCACTAACTCCTTTCAGTTCTCTTTAGCCCGGTTTTGACTTCCTACTAGTGTATGCCACATAATTTCTTTACACAGTATTTATTCTCTAAAGACTATCGTGTGTGCTAATCATTTCAAGAATATAAACTTCTTCACAATCATAATGTACAACTATCTCCATGGAAGCATCTGTAGATGTTAGGCCCCTTGGATTATGTGTGTGTTCCCTTCCAACCACTTGCACAAGTTTTGTGAGTTGAGGGTGGGAGGAATGCCCCAATCAGGAGTAGTTGAGGAGGAATATAGGATGGGCAGATAAATGTTAAAAAGAAGATATATATTGAAACTCAGCATCCTTTTTGAAAATACAAATATCAAAACGTGGACTTCAGGATATTCAGTGCATTTTCCTTCAAAACAGAGAAACATGCCTGGCCAGTATAGCTCAGTGATTGAGCATCAACCTATGAACCAGGAGGTCATGATTTGATTCCCAGTCAGGGCAGCACATGCCCAGGTTGCAGTCTCAATCCCCAGTGTGGGGAGTGCAGGAGGCTGCCAATCAATGTCTCTCTCATCATTGGTGTTTCTACCTCTCTCTCCCTCTCCCTTCCTTTCTGAAATAAATAAAATATACATTTTTAAAACACACACACAAAGAGAAAACACACTTGTAAAAAAAATGCTTCTCATGCACTGGCTAGGTGGCTCGGTTGGAGCATTGGCCCATGCAGGTTTGATTCTCAGGTAGGGCACATACCTAGGTTTCAGGTTCGATCCCTGAATGGGGTGGGCATAGGAGGTAATTGATCGATGTCTCTCTCTTTCTCTCTCTCTCTCTCTCTCTCTCTCTCTCTCTCTCTCTATATATATATATATATATATATATATATACATATATATATATAAACATGTCCTCAGATGAGGATTTTTAAAAATGCTATTTATCATCTGGCACATGTGAAGTATATTAGAAATAATTAAAAGTTACAATATAATTCTAAGGATTATATTAAAATGATAATAGCATAATAGCATACTCTATTATTTAAGGGATCATTATTAACTTGAAATCTAATAATATTCTATTCTTCCTCTCCTGTGTCTCTCTGATCATTAATATCTAACTAAATTAAAGTCTGTCAAATGCTTAACATACTTTTTGAAATCATTTTTGAGGTTCCATGATCCAGGCAATTTTTTATTCCTCTGTGAAACATGAGGTGGATTCCTATATAGGCTCACCCACAGGTAGAGTATACCCTGCTTATGACAATTGGAATAATGAATTAATTGCATTCTGGTTTTACATGGGAAAAAATGGTCTTTATGAATTACATGGAAAAAATTTTAAAAGTAGTCATATGGGAGTAAATTGGCAAAAATGTCCTCCAGAGAGGAAATTACATTCAGAAGAAACTTGAATTGGAAAGGCCCGGCGTGCTCATCTGCCACTTGTGAGTTCCACTTATTCTAAATGCCTTTTACGGTGTTTCTGCTCAGCCAGCACCAGTCCTTGGTTGGGGAGCTGCTAATGAGAGGCCCAGAGTACTTCACAGCGTGAGGTGGTGGTGAAGGGCTTGAATTACTAAAAACTCTTCTTTAAAGTGACCTAAAATCCAGTTCCTTTGGGATTTGCCCTCTGTACTGATTGTAAAGAACTCTCTGTGTTCTGTAAGGAATTATGTTGTGGTTAAAACTGCAGGCTTCAGACTCACAGAGTGTAAACAGGAATCATAAATCTGCCGCTTCCTAACTTGGTGACTTGGGGAAAGTCACCCAACCTCTCTGAGACTAGCAACATCTGCAACGTGTAGAAATAGGACACGCGGTTGCTATAAGGATTACGTGAAAATTAAAAGCAATTAGCCCAATGCCTAGCATAATATACATGCATATTTTATAAATAGTATCTATGTAATAACGTTCTCCGAGTGATGCGCTCTCAGTCCCTTCAGCTGTGTCATGTGGCATGACTGATCCCTGGAGTCAATCACACTGTAGTTTGGTGATGCCCATTTTAGAAGCCGTAACTGAACACTGGGCCCTAAACAAGGTCAGATCATCAGGCTACAGAGTGGTCCAGATGGCACAGGCATCGAAGGCCCTAGGCGAGCTGGTGGGAGGAGGAGCCTGCCCAGAGCAGAGTGAAGGAAAGGCTGGAAGTCCGGAAGCCATAGGCATGACTGAAGGGGTGCTGAGCGTAGACGCATGGCAAGTCAGAAGGCAGCAGCACACAGCGAGAGAGACAAACGCCTAGCTCTTAACTCCCAGAAAGGCCAGAGGAGCTCTGAAAGGTGGGTGTACAGGCCTGGCAGTCTTAGGGCAAAACTGTCCAAGTGACCTTAAAAGAAGGATTGTATGAGCTGGGAGACCTGGGGTAGAGGTGAGGGAGAACCCATCAGAATCATCAATCATTTATTGATTTTTTTTTCCTGTGCCGGGCACAGAAGAAAGTTTTAATCAAAACAACTTTAAAAGTGTAAAACTCTATACTTTATTTCTGACCATAAAGGAGCCAAGTGATGCATGAAGCAAACTTCTAATATGTATTACATAATATTAGTGCCGTAAATAGATATCATGCCATATACAGTCAATAATCAACACATTAAATAAATCTAGAATCTGTTTAGCATTAGTGCTATCAATCAAAATAAATATGACCAAGGATCTTATCCTGGAGGGGAGAGACAGGACAGAAATATGTGGAAGAGATTTTTAAAATTTCAAAAATAAATAAAAATTTCATTGATTCTCTAGAGCTACATTGTCCATTGGGTAGCCACAAGTCACATTTGGTGATTTGAGTTTAATTAACTTGCAAAATTTAGCTCAGCGGTCACACTAGGCACCTTTCAAGTGTCCGATGGCCGCCGTGGCTGTTGGCAACTGTGCTGCTCCGCAAGGAGAGAGGACGTTCCCATCACCACAGAAAGCCCTGCTGGACAGAGGTGCTGGAGAGGGGCAGTCTCTGCAAGTTATGACCCTCCTGGGTAGCCCATCATTCCATGAACAGCAATTGCTTAATTATTGCATATTGGGCCTGATTTAAAGCAAGTGTCCCAAAGATACGGGGTGAAAGGAACCCACATAAAAGCA